TGCTACAATGGGTCCCCCATATATCAAAACTATCAAGCAGACTCAGCATATGTTGTAAAAAAGATTAGAAATCTTACCAATGTTGAAATAGCTAGACTAGTTTACATTAGCTGTTTCAATAGCATAATGTTTTATGGTATTTTGTTACGGAGACACTATAATATATGTTTTACAGAAGTGGGCCATAAGAGCATTCTATGATTTAAAACCTAAAGGGTTGCTCCGACAAATATTTAAGGAAATTAATGTATTCACTTTGGCCTCTCAATACATTTATGAAAACGTAATGTATGTACACAAAAATAAAAGTAGTTTTAAAACAAGTGGTAAAATTTTGTACAACCGACTTCAATATAAATTATTCGGGATAACTCAAAAACTACAGGTCAGACCTTGATCAAATTTATATGAGACTATATAAGAACCACCAGCTTTCAAATAAAGTAAGATTCATCAAAATCGATTCAGGTAGAAAAAGTTAGGAGGTAACACACATAAAAAAAAAACAGTCGAATTGAGTACCTCCTGTTTGAAGTCGGTTAAAAATAAGGACATTCATTCTGTAAATACTAGGAACAGACACAAATTAGTAGTATCAGTTAGTTGACTCCAATGAGTCAGTAATTCATTCTTGGGGCGATTCTTAATACATGATATATGTCGAATGCACAGCGCAATCAACGCTTTTCTGAGGGCGGCGCCCGACTTTGATATATTTGCGGATAGTTGGAATGTGCTGTTGTCAGCTTGTTTACGATTTTGCGAAAGTAATGATATATTATTTGTATTTTTCTTAGTATAGTTTTAGTTATAGAATAGTTTATTAATAAATAATTAAAATAAAATAAATAAATGGTATGCTTTTACAACAAAATCCCAGAAAATATACAAAATTTGACCTGCTCAAAGTTCAAAAACTTTATTAAACTAAGTTTGTATAAAAAGGGTTATTATAATATTAAAGAATTTATGGAAGACTAGCTGTCCCTCGCGAATTCGCCCGTGTGGAATTTACTACGGTTTCATGGGTTTTAACTTTTGGCGCGGAACACTAAATATTTTTCTAAAATAAAAGTATTCTAAGTTGCTCCTTATAACATCAGCTATCTGCCAGTGAAAGTCCCGTCAAAATCGCTCCAGCCGTTTCGGAGATTAGCCGGAACAAACAGACAGACAGACAGACAAAAATTTCAAAAGTAGTTTTTTTGTTATTAGTATCGTATATACTTTCATATGCATTTAGTAAAAAGCTGTTATTTTAACATTACAAACAGACACTTCAATTTTATTTATTTGTATAGATATAGATAATAACCGTAATTGCCGTGTAGTGGTGGTTAAGAATATCCACTACCCCATATCTTCTCGTGGGTGTCGTAAAAGGTGACCAAGGGAAACAGGCAGGAGATGGGCAGCAGCATCTTCCTGATAACAGCAAAAATACAATAAAAAACTGCGGTTACCAACCCGCTCGCCAAGCGTGGCAACTATGGCAAATATCCCCCTATGAATGAATGTAACAAAGAGACGGCCCCCAGTCCCCGGCGGCCCCGTTATTCCTGGCTACGGTGGCGACCATGGTAACGGCGGGGCAGGGGGTGCTAAGAACCTCCGGTGGAGGTTCGGTTGCCACCTACGACGACTCGACCTGGCAACATACAACGCACGCACCCTGAGGACTGACGAGAAGATTGTGGAGCTGGAAGAAGAGATAGACAAGTTACGCTGGCATATTATAGGATTATCCGAAATCCGAAGAGAGGGGGAGGAAACGGTAATCCTCGAATCCAGCAACTTGTTCTATTACCGGGAGTGCGACCATCTGTCTCAAGGAGGTGTCGGATTTATCGTCCACAAGTCTCTCGTTAACAACGTTGTAAAGATTGAGAGTGTGTCGTCGAGGGTTGCGTACCTTATACTCAGAATCACCAAACGGTATTCGCTGAAGGTCATACAGGTTTACGCACCAACCTCGGCACACCCCGATGAGGAGGTGGAGGAAATGTATGAGGATATCTCTAGAGCCATGCATTCCTCCAAAACCCAATATACGGTGTTAATGGGAGACTTCAATGCAAAACTAGGCACAAGAGAGAATGGTGAGATGAAAGTAGGGAAATTTGGAATAGGGCAGCGGAACCCAAGGGGCCAGCAGCTGGTCGACTTAATGGAGAAAGAGGGACTCTTTATGATGAACTCTTTCTTCCAGAAGCGGCCCCACAGGAAGTGGACCTGGTCGAGCTCCGACGGTTCGACAAAAAATGAGATTGACTTCATTATGACGACCAGACGACAACTGTTCAGTGATGTCTCCGTGATCGCGAGGATGAAAACCGGCAGCGATCACCGAATGGTGAGAGGCACACTGAACCTAAACGTTAAGTTGGAGAGGTCTCGTCTAATGAAGTCAACGCTCCGTCCCCCTCGTGCTCTAATCCAAAGTCCCGAAACCTTTCAGCTCGAGTTACAAAACCGTTTTCAGTGCCTAGAAGACTGCAATGAAGTGGACGATATGAATGACAAGCTTGTGGAAACTGTCCATGCGGTCGGAGCTAAGTTCTGCAAGACCCGCCGCAGAAGAACACAAAAACTCTCCGATCACACTCTTAATCTCATTGTTGTTAGACGGGAGATGAAGCTACATTCTTCAACAGATTTGACAGCATACAGGCAACTGAACAGACAGTCTCCAAATGCATGCGGCGGGACTTACGCAACTTCAATGCAGCTCGTATTGAAGAAGCGATCGAGCGGAACCAAGGCTCCAAAGTCTTTGCCAGAGATCTGTCTACTAGAAAGAGCCAACTGTCAAAGCTGAAGACAGAGTGTGGCAGCATCGTTTCCGGGGCACTTGAGATTTTGAGTGAGATTGAGAGGTTCTATGGGCAGCTGTACACGTCATCGTTGGAGCCACACGCAAGTGTGAGTAACGATCCAAGAGCGAGTCTTATCTGACATTATTCCGATGATATCCCGGACGTCAGTCTGAGCGAGATTAGAATGGCTCTCCAGCACCTTAAAAACGGCAAGGCCCCAGGCGAGGATGGAATTACAGCGGAGCTTCTGAAAGCGGGTGGAAAACCGGTACTTGAAGTCCTTCAGAAGCTCTTTAATTCCGTCCTCCATGGTGGCATTACACCGGAGGCGTGGAGCAGAAGTACGGTGGTCTTGTTCTTCAAGAAAGGCGGCAACGCTCTCTTGAAGAACTACAGACCGATTTCCTTTCTGAGCCGCGTCTACGTGCTGTTTTCGAGAGTCATTACGAATCGTCTCGCGCGCAGACTTAACGACTTCCAGCCTCCCGAACAAGCCGGTTTCCGAAAAGGCTTTAGCACCATAGACCACATATATACCCTTCGGAAAATTGTACAGAAGTCCGAGGAGTACAATTTGCCACTATGTCTGGCGTATGTGGACTATGAGAAAGCCTTTGATTCCGTCGAAATTTGGGCGGTGATGCAGTCTCTTCAGCGGTGCCAAGTTGACTGTCGGTATATAGAAGTGCTGAAGTGCTTGTACAGTAGGGCTACGATGGCTATCCGAGTACAGAACCAGAGTACGAAACCTATCCAATTGCAGCGAGGTGTAAGACAGGGTGACGTCATATCCCCGAAACTCTTCACCGCTGCATTGGAAGACGTTTTCAAGCTTCTGGACTGGAAAGGATACGGTATTAACATCAATGGCGAGTACATCACTCATCTTCGATTTGCCGACGATATAGTTCTTATGGCAGAATCGCTGGAGGACCTAAACACTATGCTCAATCACCTCAATAGTGCTTCCCAACGGATAGGTCTTAAGATGAACATGGACAAAACAAAGATCATGTTTAATGTCCATGTCACACCTATGCCGGTAGTTGTTGGGAGCACTAAGCTCGAAGTTGTTGACGAGTATGTTTACCTGGGACAAATAGTCCGACTAGGTAAGTCCAACTTCGACCGAGAGGTCAATCGACGGATTCAACTCGGTTGGGCAGCGTTCGGGAAATTACGGCACATCTTCTCGTCAGTTATACCTCAAAACTTGAAAACGAGACTGTACAACCAGTGCGTGTTGCCAGTGATGACTTATGGAACTGAGACGTGGTTCTTCACTGCTGGCCGGATGAGGAAGCTCAAGGTCGCTCAGCAAGCTATGGAGAGGGCTATGCTCGGAGTTTCTCTGCGTGATAAACTCAGAAATGAGGATATCCGCAGTAGAACCAGAGTGACCGACATAGCCCAACGGATTAGTAAGCTGAAGTGGCAATGGGCCGGCCATATAGCTCGAAGAACCGACAAGCGATGGGGAAAAAAGGTTCTCGAGTGGCAGCCTCGTACCGGCAGGCGAAGTATTGGGCGTCCCCTCACTAGATGGAGTGATGACCTGGTGAGATGTGCAGGAAGTCGATTGATGCAGGTGGCTCAGGACCGTGCTTTGTGATTCCTTGGGGTGGCCTATGTTGAGCAGTGGACTTGTGAAGGGCTGTAATGATGAAGATAATAACCCCCGGGAAATGGGAATGAGGTGATCGCTACCAAGCTATTTCCAATTTGTTTTGTGTTGTTAATTGTGTAACATACATACATGATTGTAAGCTGTTATTTTTTTTAAAAACGTCCCGCTAGGTTTCTTGTTTTTTCTTCCCAGGACAGAGGTTTATTTCTGAACCAGTGGTAATTAAATAAAAGTGACTTTCAATTTAAGTATTACTTATGATCTTTATTGAATAAAAGTCTCTTAAAGTTCTAAATTAAACGTGTTTGTGGATGAAATTGTGTTTTTTTTTAAATTCTATCCTCGGTTTCGTATAATAGTCAGTTGACCCAACCCATTTGTGCTGATACCACATTTCATTGATTACTTAATTGTTTACGTTCTACTACATAAAACAATTTAAAAGGCGTGTAATGACGTCTGTGAATAATTTATATAAAGTCCACGCTGCTATGAATTTTTTAAAATAAAACAATAGTTTCATTATTTTATAAAAATATGTCTATGTTTATTGAATTTTACTTCAAATTAGTCAAATTACTGTCAGATTTTGATCTATAAAGTTCTCTACTTAAGTGTGGCGATAAAGAGTTATGTATAGTTTTCAAATCGGTTATACCTTCAGAATATTTGAAAAAATGATTGGCGTTTGTAGACATCGAACGTTGCAGACATTTTTGTTTCGGTTTACACCTGAAGATATCTTTTTCCTTCGAACTTGAATATTTCAATGACCTAAAACTAGGCATACTTATACCTTCTTTTATATAAGTTTCTTTCCCAGTTATCATGTAAATTTTCAATTGCGTGTTTTCGTAATAAAGTCGTGCGTTAGTTTTCAATAATTTTAGAAGCTTTTTACCGGCTTTCGAAATATTAGACATCCTTAATAAATTATTAAGTAGAATATCTAGAGCTTCTCTGTTTTCTTGTAGTATTAATATGAGGTTTTCACACAACTGAAAATAAAAAAAGACTGTTCTTCAATGCGACAATTTCTTATTTTGTAAAATCGAGCAAAAATCGGCACGGCCGTTCCATCATTTTCTCGTAGCAGTTCAGGTCATTTTCGACCCCCTATAACTTAGTTATGGATAAAACTAGAAGCCTAAATTTTCAGTAACCAGGTAGGCATTATATAAACACGGTATATTTAAAATTTTATTCAATTTGAACCAGTAGTTTAAGAATTATAACTAGTCAAAGTTTCTTAATTTTGTCACTCACTTACTGACTGACCGATCATCAAAACTCTAAGGCACTTCTAGCAGACCTAGAAGCTTCAAATTTAGAATACAATTAGTGTTTAGTGTATAAATCAAGGAAAAACTAAAATATTTTGTAATTTCGGTCCTAGATACACCAACTGCATAAATACTTTGTAATCCTGTATAAATATATAGGATTACAAAGTTACATTTGCAGGGAATGAATCAGTGTATCTGTATAATGTATAATATAATGGAATAATAGATGTAGATAGGTACCTAAATATAATTATGTTCAAAGTAACTTGTAAAATGGTCAACAGAATGAAATAGCAAGAATGGGACATGTCTTATGAAGTTGTACCCAAATTCCGCAAAGTATTAAGTAGACTAAATTGCTCGAAAATTCGTAGTTGTATTTAAAACATAAAATATTTTTAATATTGATATGGTCACTATAAGATGTTGTTAGGTTAGCTAATTACGTAATAACTTGAGACAGAAGAGTTTATACGTGGTAGAGCCATGTTGCAGCTATATTAGTAGTATAGTTGTAGCACGCATGGGTCGGCTCGTCCGGGGAAGGACCACGCTCTCACAGAAAACCAGCGTAAAATAGCAGCTTAACGCTGCTGTGTTTCGTATGGTGAGTGTAGAGAACCGGAGACCCTTTTTACTGGCAAAGAGGCATTCCATCTTAGTCCTCACGGGTGAAAACGCATCTGCATCTTGATTCTTTATTGAGGATAGATGTAGATGTCTATGGGTCACAGTAACCACTTACCATCAGGTGGACTGTGCGCTCGTTTGTCACCCTATCCTATAAAAAAAAGTACCCTTAAGTAGAGACTGAATAAATTAACCGACTTGGTAGGTATTACATGGATCTCACAACTTTTTACGGTAGAACTGAATTGCGAGATTTGTTTTTTTTTACAAGTTATGTTTTTGATGGCATAAAGTCTGTCTGCATAGTGCTGACAAGTTATTTTTATTTAGTCTAAGTCTCATATCACATTCCTTTACTCAAGTATTAGTCTTATAATATGCGTGTGTAAGCATTTATTTATTCAGCGTGCCAATCATGAATTTTAATCCATGATTTTAAATTTTCCGCAGCGGCCACTGCTTTATAGGTTCTATTAGATCTTTTGCTATCTCTCATGTCTTGGACTTCATATCTGTCTTGACCAAGGCATTTTTTGATTTGAAAAGGGCCTTTAAAAGTAGGTTTTTTTATATTCTACTAGCTTTCCACACCGAAGTTTCGCTCACATTCAATAAAAAAATATCTGATAGTAACTATCAACCATCGCCCATGAAGAACTGCAACACCAGAGGAATTACATGTGCATAGCCGACCTTTTAAAAAGGAGTAAACTCTTTTCTTGAAGTTCTCTGAATCGTATCGATCTGGAAAATTCGCCGATGTTATATGATTCCACAAAGAAATCTTTCGAGGAAGAAAACTCCCAGTCAATCGCACAGTCATGGTAGACCACCAAGCAACCAAATGGTTTGGATGGTACTGTGAGTTTTGGTCTCGATGTGAGTTGGTGGAATTTGGCAGCTGGAATTAATCCGAATCATACCTCTAAGCACTCCCCGTGGTAAATGCGATAAAAGATGCAAAGAGATGCTATATCTCTACGAAGTGTAAGTGAATCGAGCCGATCAGAAAGAACACGGTTATCGACGATTCGAGTCGCTTTTCGCTGGATGCGGTCAAGTGGAAGGAGCTGGCACTGGGGTACCCCAGTTCAGAGATGAGAACAGTATTCCATGTGAGGCCGAACTTGCGCCTTGTAAGGATGCGAGCGGTCATGAAAATACCGTCATGAAATACTGTCCCGTTCTGCTGAGCACGTCAAGCTTTTTAGGGGCCAATTTAGCTTTCCTTTCAATTAAGCTGTACATCATTCGATATATCGATGCCGAGGAGTCCGACGCTCGCTGAGGCAGCATGGGGAGTGCCCCGAAATTGAGGAGAACAAACAAAGGGGTTATTTTTAGCGGTAAACGCGCAAACCTGTATCTTCTGAAGTTTAAATTGGACTAGATTTAGTCGTCCCCAATCCGAGCCTTTGTTCATTAAAGACTTGAATTCAGACACGAGTTTGTTCGGTTACCCGATGACATGTTCCCGAGAAATATTGGCAAGGCCGGTGTCAAAAGCGTCACCATTGCTGTCGTCCCATAGCAATGAATGTTAATGCTTTGCAACATATCATTGATATACAGAAGAAACAGTGTAGGTGATAGTACGCAGCCTTGTGGAATACTAGCATTAATATGCTTGTAGTTTGAGTATGCACCTTCTACTATGAACTTGATGCTCCGTTGTGCAAGAAAATTGATGATCTAATTGGCCAATGTCTCGGGAAGCCCATGGGAAAGAAACGCTATGTGCCAAAGTCCTTCGAAGGCCTTTGCTATGTCCAAAGTAACGGCCAAGGTCTACTTCTTGGACTCTAGAGCTCGCGACTCCGATGGAAATTGCAATGACGATAGGAGGAACACAATCAGCCCACTCGACTTGTTGACGTCCAGGGAGAAGAGTTTTTTTGCACACCAAGCGTAAAACGCACATCAAGCATGGAGCACTCACATCGTGGAATGGTTGGCGGTGTATGGTGGGAAAGAGGGTCTTTCATCAAGAGTCGAGTTGGACGCAAAAAGAGAAACGAAAATATCGACTTTCTCCTTTGCGGCTAGACTAGTGAGTAGTCCTCCCTGTGCAGAGATGGAAAACCAAAAAACCATAATAAAATTAGAGGTAGAGAAAAGAACTTGAGCAAGTTAAAATCTTTGAATCACAGCCATCAGTCAGTCAATGAAAGACGAAAAACACAACACCAAATAGTTCAAATTCTTATATCATTGTTTTGTACCAAAAATAAGGAAAGAGTAACAAGTAAAATGCTTCATTATTTATTGAGAATATTATACCAAAATTTATTCTGTACATAAACAGTGCTTACAAAGGCAAGCTCAGCGCCCCCTCGAACCATGCATCCTAGGCTCCAGCCTAGTAGTCTGTGGGTAAATCAGGCCCTAAATTCAAGGTTATTTGATCTGTTCCAAATAAAAAGAGAATGAACAGATTTCATTGTTTTTCATCACTCATTGGCAGTGTGTCGAGTGTAATGATTTCAGAAACAACAAAATAACAGTATATATAACAAAAAAGAAGAATTTATGAGTCTAGATTTCTTTTCATGAGGTTTTCGTCAAATGGAATGGTAGTGTCGAAGAAACATATTCTTAATAGTGTCCGGTCCATCACCACCAATAGTAAATTAGAATAGAATGTTTACAGACATGACGATGGCCCGATCCCAGTAGATACTGTCGCGATCGTTTTCGAGCACGGCTTCCAGCAAGTACTGTTCCGATCGAAGAGACCATACTTTAGGACGAGTTCCTGATGTAAAATATTGACTACTAAGCTGTGCCTATGGAAATAACGATCAACTGGTAATGTCATGCCAAGTTATTCCCCAGAATAGCAAAAAGCTCGTCAGATGTCTACGGTGCCATCCTTTAGGATTTCTCTTGTTAGTCTTAATAACCTGATCCTGTATCGCACAGACAAAACCCTTACTTTTATTAAAGAGATTAGCGAACAGCAGCCAGTGGGAAAGGCGCTCGTGTCTAAGAAATGCTCGTGGAGAAGCGTGAGGAACCTTGTAGAACCTCCTGTGTAGTTTTTCTCTTTTTAACACTATACACTTTCTAGTACTAACAATTCTTGCTATTGCTCGTTGGCTAAGGATTGTAGAGTAAGTCCTTTATCACACATAATGACGTGTTGTAGAATGACATCCGATTTCGTTAACAGTATAGACAAAGCCATTGACCAGATCCGCCGCTGAAGTCAGAAGGGCTGGTACTTCAGGGTGTGTTCGTGGCCTTCGCGTAACGGACTCGAGGGAGTGTCCGTTAAGCAGGTTGAGTGGAAAGCGGCGAAGGAAGGCGCTTCTTAAGTACCGAAGCACCTTACCTAAGAAATAATGGAAAAGGAGTTGTCCTCTTCCGAGTAGGGGCTCGCACTGGGGCTGCGGAGATGCGTGCGTGCAAAACGACTCGTAATAACTCTTTAAAAAAATTGTAAGAGTGGCTCGAAACTCGGAAGGTATGTACTTCCACATTATAGCGTTTTTTTACAAACAAGATCACAATACTTTTGCTCCACAAATCTAGCGTATTGCCACTATTTAATAACTTCTAGGATCACAATGCTTTAAGGTCCGAGTCTCCAATCACCTTTAAAAGCACCATTTCTTTTAGACGTACGTCCTCTTTATGTACTGTCGAGTCTATATTCGGAATAGAGTCGGAAGTGACTTGATCTCGATAAAAACTCTCAATCTTACATTGGTTACATAAAAATTCAATTCATTGCCTAAGTCAGAAATAGCGGGAATACTACGCCGGGGACTGTAAACCGTCTACTTGTGCTATTGTTTATAGGGATGTTTGCCATTATTGCTACGTTTTGCAGATAGTTTGACAACCTGAGTTTTTAATTGGTGTTCCATAAAAATGCTGCTATGAATATTCTGGATCCTATTGATGTTATCCATTATTGTAAATTAAGGGAAGGAAAGAAATGGGATAAAGGGGAACAGGCTAAAATAAAACTAAATAGCATATTATAGCATGTGGTAAGAGAAGGTTACATTAGTATACTACTTTAAGGCCCGCCACATACATACGGAATTCCGTTTCGATATTCCGATTCGAAATTCCGAACGCAGCAAGTTCATATAAAATCTATGACCCGTCACACACGTACGGTAGTTTTCCGTTCAAAATTTTGCGGGCAATACGGGATTCCGTATGTATGTGGCCGACCTTAATACGGTAACTTGGAGTATCCCCTCCCCCTCTCCAAGGGGAAATACACCGCCAACCATTCCGAAGTGTGGGTGCTCTTTGCCTGATGTGCGATTCACACGGTGCTCAGTACGCAAAGCACTCCTCTCCCTGGACATCCACAAGTCGAGCGGGCCTGACGGAATCCCGCCAATTGTGCTGAGGACCTGTGCTCCACAGTTGGTTCTAACACGTCTTTTCCGGTACTCCTACTCCCTAGGTGTTGTCCCGAATTCATGGAAGACAGCTATCGTGCACCCGATGCCTAAAAAAGGTAACCGCTCTGATCCGTCCAACTACAGGCCCGTCGCCATCACCTCATCATCAGCCTCAGAGGTAAAAATGCAACTACTATACTCCATTTCAGTTGCGATTTTACCTCTGAGGACAAAGATGAGGTACAGGGGTGTCACTTCCACTATGGAAGGTATGGAGCACTCCATACCTCAAGTTTTTCAAGGTATGGAATTCCATAGCTGAAATTAGGAAATAAATCGCATATTACTACAAACCCCATATAAATAAATCGCAAGCCCTTAAACCTCAATACCCCACATCTTATAGTTCAATAAATAAGTTGAGTATATACACTGCAAACTCTTAAACCTTAATACCCCACGAGTAATGCGAACAAATTTGAAAATCGCGCCACCATTTTCCATACCTCAGATTTTTACAAAGTGACACGCCTGATGAGGTATGCCTTGCTACCAGTAAAAAGTATCTCCGGTCCTCAACACCCATAATACATAAATGAACATGTTAGTTAGTTACTATTTCATGCTGTTATTTTGTGGGAACGTGGTCCTTCCCCGATTAGCCGACCCATTGGTGCCATTGGAGATAATAAATTGAATATAACTTAATTTTGTGATAAACAAAATTTTGTGATCGAGGCGCAGTGATTTTTAGTTATACAGGAAAGATATAAAAATATCACCTTTTCACTATGCTTCTGTAACTTCATCAACCTTTTTTGCAATATTATTTTGTTTGATTTCATTTTTAAATATTTAGCACATAAGTTGTAAATTATTTCATCTTTTTCTTTAATTTCTTCTTGCAATGACGTGAAAAGTATATCTCCCTGAAGTATAGTAAAATATTTTAAAATACTCAAATTGGTATAAAAGGAGTTTTTAAGGAAAATTCATCACAATGTTACTCACGCGTCTTGCAAAGGACAACCTTTTAATATCATCGACCAAATATTCTTTTTCCTTAAAGTGTATATCTCTAAAACGAAAAGTTCATTAATCATTTTATAGGTTATATTATAACTGATTCAACACTAACAAAAATATGTACCTTTCGTCAGTTAATTGTTGGTATAAATTTCTATTTGTTCGCTGTGCACATTTCAATTCCTCGTATAGCTTTTCTTTTTCACGTACTAAATTTCCTATTCTGACATCTTTAAAATCTAAGGATTTTTTTAAAGTCTCATTATTTTGTTTAAGTATTTGTATTATATTTTCAACATTAGTTATTTCTTCAGAATGAAGCGCACTTTTGCTATTCAGTGACGATGTTCTCAGAGAATTATTTGAATTATTTTGTCTGAGACTCATCCAGAAATAAAAACATCTAAATAAACACTTAACCTCTTACTGTCATGAGATGGTCACAGCCTGTCACTCCTGTCACAGTACTACTTTTAAATATATTTAAAATAATCTAGGCATTACATACTACTATCTCTATATATAATCAATCAATTAACAAATCAATCGCTGCCCGCTAGTCCCGCACAAACTCAAAAATAGCTGGACCGATTTCATGATATTTTTGTGTGTTTGAGTCCCTGGATGGTTTAGATTCACAATTGGATCCTATAGGTGGCGCTATTGTCGAGATCCAGAAATCACCCGTGCGAAGCCGGGTGGAATCTGTTTGACAAACAGCTAAATAAAATTACATTTTAGAAAGCAAATAGAGGATTTATTTTCTTGTTGTGTGGGCAAGTCTATCCATTCATTATAAACATTCAAGATAAATATCGACATTAATTTTGATATAGCTGAGTCAATCCCTAGCGTACATGTAAAATATTTTGTATAAAAATGTATTTACCAAATTCATGCAAAATTATCAACAACGTGACTTTTTTTTTTGCAAAACATCACAATTAACAAAATAATTGAAAACATTCTATATTTTGAACAGTATATAACATAAAATTTAACCAAAAATAAACAGGTCATAACATTGACGACGAAATTATAGAAAATAAAATATAGATATATATAGAAATTACCTGTGAAATGTGCAATTATCAGGATTATTTAAAAAAAATTGTCATTCTTAAAAAAACTATACACAGTAGGGTTTTCTCCTGTATCGTGGAGGCAGTTTACAAACATATTGCAGGAGGATAAACATCCAGACCCGAAACAATTATTTGTAGGCTATACAAATACTTGTTCCGTGTGGGATTCGAGTCCGCAACCCCCAGCGCAACAACTCATTGCTAAGCTACTGTACCACGGAGCCGTCAATTATTATTAACACCACAGTCACTCACAGAACAAGTAACCAGTTTGGAAAAAACTTACTTACTAAAAATAACCACTATTACACCAAAAAATTACAAAATATCTAGGAGCTAGGGGTACGAGGCTGCTCGCGTCCGTAGGAATTACTTGAAATCTGACACCCTACATGTGTTCCCCGGGTCGTACTAAACGAGCAGTACCAATTCCGGTGGTAGGTTCGGGCCGCTGGCTTTTTGGCTACCACCCACCAAAGCAAAGTCTTGCCGCCAAATGAGTTTGTCGTGTTCCGGCATGATGCTTGGTGAAGCCATATGGAGAATGGGTCTGAACAGTAGCGTTGTGTATGTAAACCAGGTACGAAGCATCAGTTGTTGCTGTGTCGGGTGCTTGGTCGTGGAGGGCAGCGGGATCCGAAGCACGGTGTTCCGCAGGCTGACCGCAGGTAGTTGGGGGCCCAATTAGTGAATTAGCTACTCAGGCTGCCCCGCCAACTGGCGAAAATCCCAGGGTTGCCCCATCGTGCCGGATAACGACCGGGCGAGAGGACTCAATGGCGATCTCTGGGAGGGTTCGGGCTTCCCCGCAGTCTCCAGATCAAGCTCCCATTGGCACTCAGTAACTCTGATAGTATCGTTTGGTTGCAGAGCTGGGGGTCGCGGGTATGAATCCCACACGGAACAAGTATTTGTATGGCCTACAAATAATTGTTCCGGATCTGGATGTTTTTCCTTGTGCATTTATGTTTGTAAACTGCCTCTACGATACAGAAGGATATTCTAGTGTGGGGCTAACGTTTTTTTTTCAAATAAAGGAAAACACAAGCTAGTGATACCATTTACTTGACATCACAGAGTCAGTAATTCATTCATATTCAACAAAGTCCCAGAATATATCCTCGGTGTCTTTATTACCGTTACCGTTACAGTCTATAAGGCCCGTCACATACATACGGAATTCCGTTTCGATATTCCGATTCGGCATCCCGAACGCAGAAAGTCCATATAAAATCTATGACCCGCCACACACGTACGGTAGTTTTCCGTTCGATATTTTGCGGGCGAAACGGGATTCCGTTTGTATGTGGCCGGCCTTAAAGTCCACTGCTGAACATAGCTCTCCCCGTAGATTGCTTCATAGGGGGAATATTTGCCATTGTTTCCACGCTTGGCAAGTGGGTTGGCAACCGCAGTTTTGTAGTTATTAGAAAAATGCTGCATACCATCTCTTGATTTGTTTCCCTCTGTCACCTTTTACTACGCACACGTGATGATATTGCCAAGTTTAAATATTTGATTAAACTAAAACTGTATAAAAAGGGTTATTATTATTACATACAAATAAATACATGGCTAATAATAACCCCTAGGAACTAGATGGTCACTTCCAAGCTTTTCCTAAATAAGTTTTAGAAGTATTTTGTACAAACTGTATTCTTTTTGTATAATATAATAAAAATTATAACATATTTTTTTGACAAAAAAGTCACGTTGGCTGTGTTTCTTGTTCTTTTTTTTTCGCAGAAAATCGGTTTTGATATTTTTATTATAAAATGGCAATTTCATACATTAACCTATGAATATACATTAGGTAACTAAAAATTATAAAAACAGTTAATTAATTTGTCTAGTGAAAAACAAAAATACAAACTCTGAAGTCAATCTAAAAATTATTTTGAATCTATTTACTATTACGAACTATATATATACTACTAATACTATAACTATTTACTAACACGAAAGTACAATAAATAGTATATGGAATTCTAAGTCTTTTATCACTTTTCAAAAGCTAACAAAAGTGGTGTGTTGATGGCACTTCACATAAACATTTTATTCACCAGTGTCATATACGCAAATGGTGCGTATTATGTGTTTTGGTGATTTTCATTGTTTTCAAGTACCTATCACAAGCTAATAAGAAGTGCTAGCGCACCTATGTATTAATTATCATAATTAATAATAAGATTATGTGGCTCGACGATGTTTCCAAAAATTTTGTAGCAGTGAATGGGTTAAAATATTGTAAATTGTCCCTAGTAAATATTTTCGAAAAAACGGAATGATATTTCCATCCGCACCATAATCAACAATAATTCTCTTTCAGGTAATTAAAACTGTGGTCATTTAGACCTTTTCTAGACCGCCAGTATATTCTAAGTCTATGTGCTAGACTCATTGAAAATTTAATTAAGCCAAATATATTATAATTTAATTATATTTGCATCTTGTTTCTCTTTCTCATGCTAAGAGAATACTTCATGTTTTGGATTTTCAGACTAACTGACACAAACTACATATTTATTATTAACTATATATATATATTATTTTCTATGCTCGAAGACACACACACACACACACACACACAGACCCCCGGAGTTTTGGCTGGAACTTGAACGGTGGAGGATTGCTGCCCTTTTTTATTGTTTAAAATCTGGTAGTACATTAGACCCCGCCAATTTCAGACCTAGTTCTGTACTACCGGACTCTTACTTAGTAAGATTTTTGATAAAATTATACTTGATCAAATGTTAAATTTCTTTAATATAAATAATTTACTTCATAAAAATCAATTTGGTTTCACAAAGGGTCGCTCGACAACTGATGCCGGTGTTGAGCTCATTAAATATATCTTTAATGCATGGGAGAATTCACAGGATTTATTTTGGGTATATTTTGTGACCTATCCAAGGCCTTCGATTGTGTTCACCATGAAACATTAATGAGGAAACTTCAACACTACGGTGTAAGAAGTGATGCTCTTAAATTAATTATTTCATATTTAAGTAAGAGAACGCAAAAAGTTGTCATTAACAGTATGAGTTCTTCCGGGTCGATGGTACAAATGGGCGTGCCTCAAGGATCAATTCTCGGCCCCTTTCTGTTTCTTGTGTACACTAATGACTTACCTTACGTACCGTACGTGTAACCTCAGATTTTGTATCCAAAAAAGTTAGAAAAGTTAATATTTAAACTTTATGAACTTATCAAAAATATTTTCTTTCGGTTATTGTTTTTATTTCATTTAACAAGAATAAAGTTAAAATTAAAACATCCCCGTCTTATTTATTCTTTCTTGCTCCATAATAACAAGATCTTATCTCACTAATGAGATCTGGATCTTTCATTACTTTCATCACTTATCTATAACTTATTCATTAAGACAATTTCAATAAGCCCAAATACAAATCTTTTACTGTAAGTTCCTGAGGAGATAAGCATCAATCCGGTAATACTACTCACATCCCTTTATGCTGGCTGCAAAGGGGCCCCGAGAGTCTCATTACCTAAGGGCCCCGACATGGTTAATCCGGCCCTGCTTACATAGTCGGGGATAACCATGACATAGTATTATTTACAGATGACACTTCTTTAATTTTCAAATTAAGTCGACAATTACTAAAATATGACGAAGTAAATAATGCTATATCTAAATTAGTAAATTGGTTCAATGTTAATAATTTGCATTTAAATGGCACTAAAACGAAATGTATGAAATTCATGACTCCAAATGTCAAACAGTTAAATACTAATGTAATTTTAAATGGGAAGAAACTAAGTCTTGTAGATACCACTATTTTTCTTGGAATCACACTAGACGCGAAGCTTCAATGGAGCCCCCATATATCAAAACTAGCAAGCAGACTTAGTTCTGCAGCATAAGATGTAAAAAAGAGTAGAAGTCTTACCAGTGTTGAAACAGCCAGACTAGTTCACTTTAGCTATTTCCATAGCATAAAGTCGTATGGTATTTTGCACGCAGCTGACCATAAGAGCAATTTATGATTTAAAGCCTAAAGAGTCGCTGCGACAAAAATTTAAGGAAATTAATATATTATTAGAAACTACTCTACTTCTGATGTTAGAAACTATTCTCAAAATGATTTAAATAAAATAATGTTACTCGTATGAGAATTTACTCTAAAGCCACAAACTATATAGAAAAGCAAACACGGACCGATCTAACAATGGCTGCACAGCAGTGTTGCCATCCTCAATTTTTATTATTTTCTTTTATTATTTTACTCATTCCTAACACGGCCTTTCCTGACAATTCACACGTCCGCGTGTGAAGCCTAG